TGTTGGTGATTTTATCTAGCATAATCCGTACTTATAATCTTCCCCAATTTTTTAATATGATCCAAATATGCTTTGAATATGTTCTTATTATTGTGCAAATCCTGTATGTGTCTACATATTTGATCAGCTATATGTGTAAATATATGTACTTGTGTCAAGTCTGGAAATACAAAAAAAATAAATAAATACAAAAAAAGAAAAAGAAAGAAAGAAGAAAATCAAAGACTTCCTAACGAATATAACGCGACGTGATCACATAGTATTGCACTTCTCGTGTTAATGCAATAGGACGTGCGCTGTTGTGAAATGTTCAGGCAACTGACTCCTATAGTCCATTCTATACTTTAATACATATACTTTTTATAGAAGTTTCTTCATAACGCCATAGAAGTGAGTCTAGTACTTTTTGATTAATGTTCAGACAAGAGTGTTAAAGCTACTCTCATCGGAAGTGGTCCGTGTCTGTCCACCATAACGATACGAGTCGCTGTTGGGAATCCAGCGACTGGGTGAATGCGTAGAGTTAGAATCGTTACCAGGGCCCAGATCATAACCTAACGTTCTCATGGGAACATTAACATAGGCAGCGTCGTCGTCGCTTCCTCTCATCCAACCAGCGCCATCTATTGGCGCGGCACGCTGACTGTAAGAGTCTTCAGGTAGGATATCAATGTAACCGGAGTCATACTGACGCGGCACACTGTGCGATCTGTCAGGTTGGCCGCACGATTCCTGCGCATACTGCGGTAGCACGCCGTTTATTTTGCCGGGGTAGTTGTAGCTTTCCCCGAGACTGGGCTTGTACTGCGGTCGTAGGTAGGTTGTGTGAGGTTGGGTGTAGCTTTTTTCCCCCTGGTCCGACTCATACTGCTCCGATACACTGTGGGATATGTCCGTTGTCCAAACATTCATGCCAGCGTTATCGTGGTAATTTGTGGCGCTCTCGGTCGAAGAAGTAGGGGACTCTGAGTCATGCTTCCTCTTCGCACAGACGCCGACGATGACGATGATTAAGATGATCAAATCCAAAGCAGCGATGACCAGTCCGACAATGAGGGCCGTATTCGATGTATTTGGTTGGGGAGCAACGACGACTACAGACATTGAATTAGCAGAGTTCACAACTCCTACAACGTTAGCGGCTGAGCATGCGTAGTCACGAACATCTACGAAACTAACCTGTTCCTTTTCGTAAATGCGGTTTACTTCTGCATGAACTAGTGATTTGTTGTGAAGCCATGAATAACTTGGCTCTGGGTTTCCGCCTGCGTTATACAGCAGCCAAAGCGCACTGCCGTGCTTGACAGTCATAACGCCTGCCTGACTGTCACCGCTTACTCTGACCTTCCCCATGTACTGTACATTGAGCCGAACATCAACTGACAGTGACTGAAATGATTCGTGGATGTCAACATGACAGGCAAGAATTTTGTCGTGATCATCAGCGGTAAACATACGCGCCAGTGCGCTGTACGTCGTTATAGTTTCATCGACTTCACTAACATGTGAAGTATTAGCTCCGTCTACAGATGTATCACCAAGTTTCCATGTTACTGTTCCTCCCGGGAAGCTTTTACCTGTAGTGCAGCTAACCTCAAGGGATCCCGCAAGTATCGTCATATTACCTTCTACATTATTACCGTCTATCGTCTTTGTGACATTCGTTGCTGGCACTAACACGATCACATTCAACTTGTTACTCGACATGTATTCTTCAAACACACTAGTTGCTTTACACGCGTACAATCCTCTGTGTTTAAACTCGACTCGCTCGATCACCACCTCGTCGCCTGCACCTTGTATCCCCTGGTTGTCGTGGAACCGCGTGTAAGATGGTTCTGGATAGCCGTCAGCATTACAGCGTAGAACCAGCTTCTCTGCCTCGATAATAATGACGTCATCATCACTGGAGTTGTTGTTGCTGCTGATGGTCACGGTGTCTGCCATGTACAAAATCTCGGTTGACACTTCTTCGGGTAACGTTGTTGAATGAAGATATGACAACAAAGTTCTTTGTCAATATCTTCCGTTGAAAACCTGTGACTCAGGATACTTTTTGTTGTAAATGTTTTGTTTCTTGAACCCGCTTCCTCTGTTTGACTGGAGTCCGCAGTGATATCTTCACCATTCAGCCACCAAGTAACGCTAGCTGGTGGGTTACTGTTGTCCGATACACAAGAGAACTGTAGCGTTCCATCCGGTGATGAAGAGCTGTCTATAAGAGACATGACAACCGACTGTGGTGACACGAGCACAGTTAGATTACCCTTGTCAGATGTAGGGCCGCTACCCGGCGCGACCTCGACTTGCTGCCATACACAATAGAACTCTGCGTCATCTTTCTCGACTCTCACTTTAGATATTAGCAAGCTAAAGTTTCCTGTGTTGTACATGTTGGCGTCAAAGTAGGAATATCTATCTTCATTAGTAGGACTTACGTAGGCACCGTCACGATACCAATAAAAGGAAACGGGAAAATCTTCCCCGAAATTGAAACTAAGGTCAATCGTGCAGTGCACGGTAACATTGGTACCTTCAACTGCCTCCGTGTCATATGGTTGCTGCAGGAACTGTGTCCTCACCGGCAATAAGACTGCGCACAATACACACACCACAACCAGCTTCACTGCATGCTGCCATTGTTAATTCATGCCCGCGTGAAATAACTGACGTTCACGCGTTTATCCGTTCACGGGTTGACTATCATATTGCGTTGAAGGTTTTCAAAGAAGATTCATATATGACAAGGCGACACAAGCGCGCACGCGGAGGTACGTTTATCTATTATTATTCAACTTGACATCTAGCGTGTAATCTTAATAAAACAGACAAGTGCGCAATGATCGATTAAAGCTTAGAGTTATTTATAACTCTACTGCGGAGTTTCATGGTGCGATAAACGGTAAACATCGAACGATAAACGATAAACGGTAAACATCGAACGATAAACGATAAACGGTAAACATCGAACGATAAACGATAAACGGTAAACGCATAGTCACCCAAAGATAAGACAAAGACGGACACATTCGCTGAGCGCTGATTGGTTGGCCGAAATATATAAATATTTGCTATATTATGTAACCGGATATCTAGTGTATAATCTTAGGCAAGATGGTCTGTGAACTAGTGTAAGATAGCCGAGTGCGATGTTCGATTAGTTATAACTCTTGTAACCGTCCGGCTACGTTGTCTGCCGTTAGGTCTCGATTTAAATTATTATTTCAACGAGAAATACGCACACATAGTCTTATTTACATTTGTTCTCTATTCTCTACTGTACATGGCTGTGGTTGTGTGGTTTTAAATCGCTGCGATGTCTGGGTGTCTATGGAAATCGTTGTCTTAATAAAGAACATGTCGTGCACACTGATACGTGATTCGCGGTTGTCGCGTCTACCTGTCTGACTGGCTTCTGGGAAGTGATTAACGCGCATGCTCGTAAGCCACTCGCTACGCGTCTTTCAACAAGCTACACTGTTTAGTGGCAGCACCATACAGTCACAATAAATTTATAATAAACTGAATTCGGCCGTAACATCCCGGCCCCTAATGCGCATGAACCCGAATGCCATTACACGAATATTAAAGGCAGAATTCCAGCAAACTTATAATCAAACATGGTCGGTTACCACACGAAGTTAAACTAAACCTGAACTAAACTTTCTTCACCTTGTTTAGGCATTATTGTGGGGCTTGGGTGTCATCTCAACTCCTTCCAGAACACATAGCTTGTCTATCGGTCTGTCATAGAGTCCCCCACGGGTCTTCACTTGGACAGACCTAACTTTACCGTCCTTGCCAGGGTAGACATCTACCACCAAACCCAAAGGCCATTGGTGACGAGGAGTGTTTTCGTATTTGATCAGTACGAGATCACCAACTTGCAGATTCCTTTCTGCTTTTAACCATTTGTGCCTTTCCTGTAGCGATGGCAGATATTCCTTTTTTTCAGATACTGAACTTGGTGCCATTGTTTGCGGTAAACATCTTGCTTAACGAAGATTCCAGGTGGGAAGGATGGACCAGAGCGAAGTACCAGCAGATGGTTAGGTGTCAATGGAGCCGCGTCACGTGGGTCATCGGATAGTTTGGTAATGGGACGACCATTCATGATGCCTTCTACGATGCACATCAGGGTGACAAGTCCTTCATCATTAAGCGGTTGCTGATCAAGCAAGCTGTTCAAAATGGAACGTATTGTCCGAATTTTGATTTCCCACACCCCACCCATGTGGGAGGCTGTCGGAGGGTTAAAGATCCATTTAATCTCCTTTTGGCACAAGAAGTCCTGTATCTTCCCTTGATTCCACTCACGGATGGAAAGGCGCAGCACCTTCTCTCCTCCACGATTGGTAACGTTATCTGAGCGCACCTCAACCGGATTTCCACGCCGAGAAATGAAGCGCTGAAGTGCATTGATAAAAAAGTCCGTCTCCAACGAGTGGCACACTTCAATGTGTACGGCTCTAGTTGTGAGGCACGTGAAAAGGCAACCATATCGTTTAACCTCACTCCTTGCTCGCTTAACCATGAAAGGGCCAAAAAAGTCTACTCCAACCATAGTGAATGGTGCAAGTCCAGGGGTGACACGATCCTTTGGCAAGTCTGCCATACGTTGCGACTCAAGTGAGGCTCTCATTCTACGACATGGAATGCAGCGGAATATCACGTGTTTTACTGCTGCTCGGCCCTTGACAATCCAGAAACGTTGCCGTATCTCTCCAAGTGTACGTTCTATGCCGGAGTGTCCTGTTGTCACATGGTAGTGTCGGATAATCAGATCAACAACTGGGTGACGATTGGGGAGAATCCACGGGTGCTTGGCTTCTGCACTGAGGGTCGTATTTGCCAGTCGCCCTCCAACACAGATTATGTTGTCTCTAGATGTCATGGGTGCAAGTTTACGAATATTGCTCGACTTGAGCAGGGCATCATTGAAGCTCGTTCTCTGGATATATCTGATTATCTCCATTTCAGCAGCCGCAATGTCGTGCACTGTGAGTGGGCCACGAATATGGGTTGTCATAGTGGCTTTCTGAATTTTATGGCGAAGAATGCCTTTAACACGTAGGCTCCAAGCCACGGCCTTCTTAAGTTTATACCATGTTGAATGTCTCTTTAACAGGGTATGAATGACGTCGCCTCCGGCATCAATCGCTATGATACACACTCGAGGTTCCTTCTTACCCATTAGGTACCAATTTATTATAAGTAGTTACCAGCAGAATACCAGAAATTTTCAGGAATAACTGTAATTTCGTTCATCAAACTTTAAATTCAAATAACTACACTAAGATTCTAATATCAATTATTACAACCACAATTTATTTTAAAGCTGAACCCTTTTAGAATACAATGAACACAAAATATTATAATTTTATGAAAGTTCACTTT